AAACTAGGGCGTCACAGCGTCATAAAATTTCTCATAAAGAAGGCTATAAGTTTAAGGTTATCCATTAACGGATAGCTGCAGTATGTGGCAACTTGTCGGGAACGAATTTCCCAAACAAAATTTAAACCCTCTATAAATTTTCTTATAAACACAAGAGTTTATGACAAGTTCCTTTTGTCTAATTTCTATCAATGATGTGTGAAAAGTTCTCGAGAACAAACACAGTACGGAGTTTCAGAACAGTTACAGTCAAACGTTTTTTTTATTATTAATGGTAGTACTAGTTAAAAACTGCTCCAATATAAACAGAAATACAAAATTTTAGAAGTACTGAGTAGTTTGTGTTAGCAATAAGTGTCTTTTAAGTATCTTAAGACTTTATATTATAAATATATTTCTAGAACTTAACAACATTCCAATAAACTTCTCATTTATCTAGCAAATAAAGCTGATTTTATATGTGTTTTCCTTTATTTTGAAGTTGAACGAACCAGATTTTCGTTGAATCAATAAAATGTATAGATTTTATTTTTATGACGAATTTCATTCGAGTAGAATTAGGTCAAACTTATTTATATATGTATATAGAAAATAGTAAATAATATGGGAATATGAATAGCTAATTTTATGGAGAGGTCAATAAAAAAATTCGTACCGTTTGTAAAGGTTTAAAGTAATTATGAGCAGAAGTATATTAGTATTTAATTTTTTATGTACAGTGATATATATTTATATTTATATAAAACTTGAAAGTGTAAAAAATGTTCCATCTGGCCGCTGGGCGCAGGAATAGTCCGATTGGAAAGATTTTGGTTTCATTGTGTAGGTTGGACCTTTCTGCTTTGAATAGTATATCTACATTATGACTATTTTTATAAGCGTGTGCATGAATAACAAATCAATATATGGTTTTCAAAAGTAAAAAAAATAAAATTTGTAACATTGATTTGATGCAAAACTGACTTAACTGGTTATCTTAAAATGGTATAAATATTCTACAGGCACACTTTTGAAAGACAGTGTTTTATAAATACATACATTTTTTCACGATAACTACGTTTATTTCCATTGTGCCACATTTTTGCTTTGTGGGGAATTCTGTAACTTTTTTATTATCTGTATTTTATATTAAAACATTCTTTACTAAATTTTATTTAATGCCAGTCTCAGAGGACGTAATCTCCAGTTTCAGAATTTTCCCTGAACAAGAGGGCGAAGAAGTCGAAACCGATCACATAACCATATTTTAAGGGATTCTTTTATGTAACTGCGTAATATATATAGTTTAGTACTTGCTCTACCGCGTACTTACAACATTGTTAAAAATAAATTGTTTAAAAAATTCATCACCGTAAGTCAAAAAGTAATAAAAACACAGAAAGCACAAGTAGTACATATAGTAAAAAGGTATTTTCAATTTCCTCGACATTAAAAAAGGGTACCTAATATTTAGTAACACTTTATTCCACCATACTTTATTTTCTTACTTGAAGCTAGTAAATAAACCAACGCATAAAATGAAAACCTCCAATGAATCGTACCATTAATAGCTTTATGTTTTACATTAATAAATATGAAGCATCTGTCTATTTCAAACCACTGCTATACAATTTTTATGTTTTCAATTAATCTGCTCGTATGATTTATAAAATTTAATAAGTCACCGGATCCTAACTAAATGTGAATTAAATTTTAATACCTTTGCCCTATTTCCTTTTTTCATATTTTTTGCCTCATAAATATTTTACTTCGTCATGTTAAATGTGTTTTACCTCTAAATTCAATTTACATGGAATTTAAAGTTTAATGCCAAAAACGAAAATTATTTGGTTTGCTAATGGCAACTTGCCATAACTTTTCATCTAATAATAGTTTTAATGATTAAATGAAAGGTGTGCGAGAGCTTAGCTTTGTTTATAAAAACTGCAAAGACTTGACTTGGCCTCGATTTAACCTTAAACATAGTATTTAAGTATCCGGAACGCATTCTTAGCATTAAGGAGGTATTAAGACCTGGCCTGGTAAGTTCTTATCTTTTAAGTTTCCTGGATTAAGACTAAGACCATGAGAAATATGCGGAAACGGCAAATATGTTTTAATCATCAAATGTAATTCTAGAGGACGTCTATGAGAAGCTTAACAGAAGACTGGCAAAAGAAGAAAATAGGAAGATTTTCTTGGTCAGAAGTAAGAATTTGCAATTGATTCCTAAATTCATTAAAATTAAAAATAAAAGTCACATTTTTATAAATAATAAATATAAAAGTAAATTTCAATATAAATTTACAATTTTTTATTCACAAATTATAATCATTTGGATTCAAGAAAGGCACTTTGGCAAACATTGCAAATCTCAATTTAAAAAAAAATTGTTAAAAATAAAATTAATAATAAATAAATAATTTCTCCTTTGCAAATGAGTTTTGTCATATACAAAGTAATAAGTACCATGAGTTTTTTCTTAAATTAAAAAATAAACATAAAAAAATCATAATTTACTGTCATAAAAGTAAACAAAATTTTAAAATTAACAAAAATTATATTAAAAACCTTACAAATGTCAACATACCTAAAAATGTACAATATATTTTAAGCTTAGGTCCGAAATTTTCATTACCTATTATGAACATTCCTTTTGATATTATTATTGCTAATATTGAGACTGGTATTATGTCACTTAATATAAACGCAAAAACAGAAATTAGAAATAGAGTGTGTAATATTTTGACAAATTATAAACATAGTTTTAAAAATAACTTCCAGAAAATTAATAACAGCATAAAAAAGAATTTTAACCACTTCATGAAAGAAACAAAATTTAAAATCTTAAAAAAGAAAAATTTGTTTTACAACAAATGATCTATTTGTGACCTGTTCTCCCAGTAAATTAATACCTGTCCAAATGTCCAAATTATTAGTCGGTGCAAGATGTATTTCAGGAATGACAAGGGTTTACCTGCTCTCATTTTAATTTTGAACCTGATTTAGTAAATTGCTTATCGTAGTGCAAATTTTATCAAACTTTCAAAGATTTTCTTTTTTATCATTTAAGGTTTTTGTGAATATTTTTACCCCTTCAACATTTTTACAAATATAAGTTTCATTTTACACCAAATTGTTATATTGATTCCGACATACTTGCGTGTAGAGTCGATTTCTTACTGCGTACATTAATTTACTTCATAAAATTTGAAATAACAAAATTTTATTACCGAAACATATTTGTGATTTTATTAAATTGTAACCTTACAAAACAAATTACATACCTATACTTTGTAACATTGGAAATATTTTAGAGAATATGTAAAAAACTAAAAGTGTATAGGTGGCATAAACTTGTTTCATCGCAACCGCTGGGCGCAGGGATGGTCCGACCGGAGTGATTTCATTGTCGTATATTGGATTTTATTGCGTCCAATAGAAATTATCTAGGTATTTCGCTATTACAAGAGTGGCAATAAGAAGGGAAAAATAAAAAAATTGTAACAATAACCTGGTAGAGTGTTGTTGACATGTTGATATGAGAGTGTCGTGGTGGCTGTAGCGCTTTCAGCAATTTTCACAACTGTTTTGTAATTATGGGGATAGGTGGTGGAAATTTATACAGGGTAGTATCTTTTATAGTTTTATTGTCTTCGAACTACAAGGTTATTCTTAATTTTCGACGAAATTGACAACATTATATCCCTCTATCTACACTAGATAACGTAAAATTGTTTAAATATTCTCTAGGCGGTTATTAAATATAATATCAATACAAAAACAATTTTGAGTTTATTTTATAAGTTGGCATTTGTCGGTGTTTGCATAAATTCATAAATAAACTGAATTATATACCAGTAATTATTTGTCCATAATAGTAGAAGTCATTTCCAGTGTATTAAATGTTTGCTTGACAACGAATTCTGTAATTGTTTTTCTATGTATTTGAGTATTTCGCCATGTATTTTCCTGTGATAAAAAGAAATGAAAAAAATTAAAATAATCCCTGCTCCAAAAAGGGTGCATCAAGGTTTGTTTCTTTATGAAATTATTTTTGTTTGGGCGAAAGCTACTTTCACATTAGTGTTATATCTTCGTAAGACAGAAGAAAATTATTTTTCGAAGAATAATTATCTTCTATCTACAGGAATAGTTGGGGTATACAAAGTATTTTTCTAAATGATATACGCCCTATAACTTTTATACGGATTATTTTATTAAAATTTTACATTCATAAGGTCGATCAGATGAAAGTAGTTTACTATTTTTCTATAGTCAATAATCTTTTTTCTATTTCTATTATATTTCAATTTTCCATAATCATTTTAATAAGACGACCTGAATATTTTTAGTTATATGCTCTTATAAAATTACATTTATGGGCTTATTTCTAATAATAAGGAAGATGTACTCTTTTGGATCTTGTTTATTAAACTATGTCTCTCCCTTCCTTTCTCTTGCCTCCTCCCCCTTCTCGGTTTCTATCTCCCTTTCTCACTCTCGCCCTCTCCCCCTTCTCGCTCTCTCTCTCTCTCTTTCCTTATATCTGAATGAAAGGCAATCTGGCAAAAATGTATCGGATGGGTCAATTCCTTTGACAAGAAGTCAAAAAGTCAATGTGTATAAAAGCTATAAAGGACACACCATTAAACAAACACCCTGTATATAGGTGTAAGTAAAAATGTTAACCTTTTTAGTCGATTTTTGTAATACTTAAACATAAATGTAATATTTTTTTCCGGGAGGGTTTTTTCAGTCCATTGTTTTTTTAAAATGCAGTAAATTCAAGCAAACTCTTAGAAACCCATGTCAAACATTTCGTACAACCGCTTTTTTGCGTGCAAGCGTTGAAACCGTGAACACAACAGTTAAAGGCCGCCACCGAATAAAAATAGACAAAGGGAAGCCCGTCCTAAAAACCATTCACATGAACGGCAAACGCCCCGGAGATAAACCGTTAATGCACTTATGCTCATCGGTGGCTGTTTCGCACTTTCACGACGCTGCTTTTGTTCTAGACTTACCCGAGGGCAGCATCAGCCAACTGGAGGTGGTGGGATCGAAGACGGCCGTCCTGGAGGCTGAGAGCCTGGCCGGATGCCAAGTGCAGGCTCTCATTCTGACCAATAACCAGCTGCAACACGTGGCGGATCGAGCGTTCAGGTGAGTCCTTATTATCTGCTCTTAACAGCGCGCCCGCTACAGTTCCGTACTTTTAGCATCGCCACTGGAGGTATTGATTGCCATCGCGAAGGAGTTTTAGTGTACGAGGATCAGCCAACAGTTACACGGAAAAATGGTTCATGAAAATTTAAATATCAACGAAAAGAAAAGAGAGTAGTTTTACGTAATATTCTTGGCCTTGATCAATATAATAGTTTATAATAATCAAAATAAGTTACTAGACTTAATTCTATATAATAAAAATTGTATTGTTGAAAAATCACCTGATGTCATTCTGCATGAGGATGTATAGGTACCTATCATTAGGCACTGTTAGTCAATGTAGATATTAACAAATCTAAACATATTAACGTTGTTAATTGATCCAATGATTTTAACATTAAAAGAGCTAATTTTCCGGAATCTTACCCTCCTTGGTTTAATGGTCATATTATTTTTAATATTAAACAAAAGCACTCATGTTGGGAAAGGTTTAAAAGTTTATAACAATGATGATTTAAATGTATTTAAACGTCTTAGATCCCAGATAAAATCTGATATTAAATTAGCATATGAAGCCTACCTTCACAATATTGAATTTAATATAAAGTCAAGTCAAGGAAATTCTGCACTTATTTTAATTCTCAATTTAATTTAGCACCTCTTATATACCGAAATATAATGATGACTTAATCGACGATCCCCAATTGATAGCTAATAGTTTTGCTGACTATTTTTCCAAATCATTTACGGTACCAAGTATGATAAATAATAATTCTATCGTTCCATCAGCATCATCAAATATGCCATTAAAAGAATTAAACCTACTATGACTATGGGCCCAGACTTAGTTCTTTCATTTTTGGTTAAAGATTGTGCTACTATTCTGGCGGAACCACTTTCGTTTATTTTTAACTTAATCTTTTATTCATGTTATTTTCCCGATCTTTGAAAACTGTCCAGAATATGCCCCATTTATAAAAAAAGTTGAAAACTTGAACTGACCAATTATAGACCTATTAGTATTATCTGTAATTTTGCCAAGGTTTTAGAAATTATACTTCATAACTTCATTTACAGTCGAGTTTCAAATACAATATCTATTGAACAACACGGCTTTATGAAGAATAGATCAACGGTTACTAACTTGATCACGAAATGTCAATACATAGCTGAAAAGCTTGACCGTCAGAGTCAAGTGGATGTTGTATATACTGACTTTTCTAAGGCGTTCGACAGACTCAACCACGGAATTTTATTAAACAGCGTTTGATCTCAGTGACAATGATTAATTTGTTAAAGTCGTATCTGCAGAATAGATACCAATTTGTTCAATTCCAGAGATATAAATCTGAAAAGTTTCAGCAGAGATCGGGTGTACCACAAGGATCTATTTTGGGCCCGTTATTGTTCGTAATATTTATTAATGATATAATTGCGAATGTTAACTGGGTACACTGTTTGTTGTATGCTGATGATCTGAAATTATTCACAGAAATTACATCTGAATCTGATTGTGCTCTACTTCAAAAAGCAATAAATATTATACCTGTTTGGCGCAACCAAAATAAATTACCTCTAAATGCAGATAAATGTAATGTAATGTGATTGACACCTAAAATTAACTAAATCAAATATAACTATAACATTCAACAATAGTTCTATGTTGCAAATGCCTCAGTACATAAAAGATCCTGGTGTTGTTTTCGATGCTAAATTAAATTTTACAAAACACATTGAGATAGTTGCATCATCTGCTTATAAATCTTTAGGTATTATTATACGTTCTTCTCAAGGATTCCGCAGTCCGCAGCATACATACTATGAAATTACTTTATGAATCTTTTGTTAGGTCAAAATTGGAATATTCATCAATCGTCTGGAGTCCTTTTTATAGTGCTGACATTGAATCTTTAGAAAAAGTTCAAAGAAAATTTTTTAAAGGACCCCGCACTAATCTTATGGATTTTGGCCCCCCGTGAATTTCTCTATAACTTTGGGAAAAGATAAGTTTCAACCTACTGATCAAATATCTCCATGGGCACAAAGCCCAAAAATCACTCATATGGGCCCTACGGGGGATTTTAGCCCAAAAATGATGGGGGCGAGGAGATGACACATCGTTCAAGAAACCAGTTCCGTCATCGGGGAGAAGGCTGAAAATGGATTTTTGGGGCTAAAATTGTCCTCTCTTTCATATTCTGGGATCAGTTCATGGCTGCTGACCTCCTAAATACCCGAAAATGGAGTGCGAAAGGGGTAAAAACGTGAATAATAAGACATACTATAAAAACGAATGCGGACCTCGCAAGTTGCGCCTGAAAGTTGACAATATTGTGGATTTGAGATTCCGAAACTGCCGTTGGACTATATAATAATATGAAATCCACAATGTTGTCAACTTTCAGGCGCAACTTGCGAGGTCCGCATTCGTTTTTATAGTATGTCTTATTATTCACGTTTTTACCCCTTTCGCACTCCATTTTCGGGTATTTAGGAGGTCAGCAGCCATGAACTGATCCCAGAATATGAAAGAGACGACAATTTTAGCCCCAAAAATCCATTTTCAGCCTTCTCCCCGGCGACGGAACTGGTTTCTTGAGCGATGTGTCATCTCATCGCCCCCCATCATTTTTGGGCTAAAATCCCCCGGTAGGGCCCATAGGAGTGATTTTTGGGCTTTGTGCACATGGAGCTATTTGATCAGTAAGTCGAAACCTATCTTTTCCCAAAGTTACAGAGAAATTCACCGGGGGACAAAATCCATAAGATTAGTGCGGGGTCCTTTGTCGCGTTTATGCTTGACGGAATATATCCTGAAAGAGGATATCCACATAATGCTCTACTTGATCGTTTTCATTGTAATGAGTTAAAAACACGTAGAATTACACATCAAATTATCTTTTTACATAAAATACTAAACAACTTAATCGATTGCACCTGGTTACTAAATATGAAATAAAACGCTTCCGTGGACGAACTGAACATAACTATTTTAAAAAAAAAATAGGTAAAATCCCATCAAAATACAATAATAAAAGTCTGCCACTTTGTAATTACTAAAAAGTATTGCTCCAAAAAATGACTTCTTGTTCCTAACCACGGCCACTTAAAATTAAATTATAGTTATGATACAACTAATTTTGCCCTTTTTAGCTGGTTACATTTAGTAGTCCAGTCATTACTGACTTTTTTTATATCATACAAATATCATCGATTCAAATTTAAAATTTCAGTAAAACTAAATTTAGAAAGATATCTGACAATGAAATTAATATTTGTTTTTTTTCGAATTTTTCAACTTATGTTTAAGTTTGCTTAATTAAAACGTATATTTCCTATATATTTTGTAACCTGACTGTGGTGGTACAAAAATAAATTATTCAGAATAAAGTTTTTATTTTCATTTCGCATATGATGAATGCTCCGGTAATGGGTCATTAGCTGGCGAGAAAATATATTCACTGTACGTACATAGTTTTATGATGTAAAGTGTATTATGGGCGATACACCCAGGTAACCACTATAAACGAGTTTTTAATGTGATAAGGGGTGATAAATTAGTTATGTTTTTTTCTTGAATTCATCGCAAATTATTTAAATACTTCTTAATTTGCCTTTCATTTAAAATAAACTAAAATTTAAATATACTGAAGATAAAATACAGTTACTTAAATGCAACAAATTTGGAAAACTAATTTTAAAATCACAGCAAACGTTTCAGAAAGCGAAAATCAGCAAGAACATTAAGGTCATCTCTCCAGCAAAGCGAAAATAAATTTTAATAATAAACGTATTTTTGCTTACGTATTTAATTAATAATTATAATGTTACTGCCACACCTACGAGAACTTCTTGCTTCCATCAAAGCATCATTTACAGTTAGTTAATCGCAATTTACACTGATAAAGCTCAAAGCATCTAATGTACGAGGATACGCATTTACATTACCATAATAATTCAGCACTAGAGCTACCCTAAATTGAAGTCACGAACGCAGGGGTTCATAACCTTCCATTTAGACGTAAGATCTTCTCAAAAAATGTTATAATTCTTATTTAATCTTATTTATAATACCGTAGAATAGACAGATACTACTTTATTCCCAACATGTAGCTACACCCAATAACAGGAAAACTGTGGACGTATTAAGAATCTGAATTTGTTCTAAATAACTAACTAATAAAATTTGGCATTCAAGCAACAAATAGTGGGAAGTACTTGTGCAACACAGTACACTGTGTGCTCGATGAAGAATTATGTACTACAGATTAAATTTTGCCATAGTTAATATAACCGTAAAAAGAAATTCTTTATACAATTATAAAACAAATCAATTATGTACGTAGAGTTCTTTAAAAATTAAAGGAATAAAATAAAAAATATTATTTCAGGAAAATTTCTAGGTAACTGTTTTTCCAACCTTTATTTGAGACAAAGAGGATAGTAATATTATCTGACAAATTGAATTTCAATAAAACTGGTCTATCATTAAGTATTTTGAAGGTATATTATTAGAAATTGACCTTATTAACTGCATTGATATAAAAATGATATTGACAACGGAATTGTTATAAAATGGAGTAGGTGTAAACATTATAAATATGCCAGAAGTATGTTATTTATTATAATAAATATCAATAATAAAAAAAGTATACAGTTTCACATTCTACTAAACTGCTATAATTTAGGCATAATATTTTTCCGTTAAATATCAATTCCCTCCATTAAACGTCATTCGATGGTTTTGTCCTATTAGCAAGGTTATTGTTCGTGAACTAATGAAGAACTTGACGAACGATATTAGAGTAAGGGTATGCTGATTACCCCAAAAATAAAACTGGACGGGAAGTAATTCATCCAAATTATTGACAAACCTTCAACAGCTTCGTCTAAGTATACAACTAAACTTTACGCAACCATACCTACTTAAAGGAAAGGTGAATAGGCACAAAAATATGTGGGTTAAAGAATGACAAGGTTTGTGTTTACATTTATTT